TACAGCCGTGGCAGCTGCGGGCCCTGGTAAACATAACAGGAAAATCCACTGAATAATGTACAAGTGAAAAACAAAATGAGGATTCATGAGTGAGCAGATGAGTGACAGCTTTGTGAAAGCACTCACAAATCCTGTTCAGTGCAGTGCCTTCTGCATGCTCTGCACCTCTCCTTTTTTCCTTTGAATTCTTTCCTGACGTCTTCATGAGTTCAGTTCCTTGTTATCTTCTACTTTATCATACTTGTGATGGAATACAATGGGACATTTATCAGCGACTTTCAAAATGCATTTGACTGACATCTTGGATATACATTCTTGACAGCGCAATGTATTTTTGTTCTTTTCATTCTCATTAAAAATCTGTTGCATCGCTTAAAGTAAGCGTGTTTTGGTTCTGTGTTCTCATCCATTTTGAATTTGCCAGCTTTTCTGGATAAAGCTGCCTGTTGCACATATGGCTGCAATAATATTGTGCAAACCCTGCCCACATAGTCAAAGTCTCCACAAGGAGCCTTCGCTAGGCCTGTTTCACCACTGAATTGCAACAACATGGTCACAACATGCTGGCCATAGATGAACAGCAGCCTCCTCCACACGTTACTTTATTAGACTTCCCACTCATGAGCTTGTGAGGTAAGTATTTGAACTACAAGTGACTGCTCACACTCTTTAAGTTAAGTTCTTGCTTGTTCCACTGCAGACTTCTAATCCAATGTTGTACAAGTAATTACATCTCCACAGCATTTAATGGAAAATTGGTGACTGATATCAAATGAATTTCAGAATCTGTGTTTCCCTAGCACAGGCCAACCTAGATCCATGCTACTAAATTGTCTCACTCTCCAAAATTCTGGCTGTGTGCAGATGACACTTCTTCAAAACCACAATAAGGACCATGTGCATCATTTCACAGCATATCTGACTGAGTTCCCAGGTTTGGGACTTCTTTGTTTCTGTCTAAGCTAGGTATATATTAATATAATAGAATTTGTGTAAATATTATATAGGTAGCCTAAAAGTGAACAAAAATACTGCACCGTACATGGCATATCTTTCTAGGTTATCAGTAAAGCATGTAACCATTTCCTGGTTCAAGCAGATGCTTATCTGATAGCATAAAAGATAGTTTATGTTCAGCTGCCAAAAGATCTTAGGCTACATATTTTACTACAGTAAGAAGTATGGCTAAGAATAATGTAACAGTGTTCAGCCAACATCTGACCAGAAACTGGAGGCAGGATACGAAGAAAGAAAGGCAAGATCTGCTGCGCATGCCCAGCTCCACTCTGTAACTGGACAGTGCCTACAGCACACTTCTCAGCACTCATTACCTAAAAAGTCGGCTATAAATCTGCCTTTTATTTAATTGTCTCTGGTAAATTGCTCTTCCAGCAAGACCCACAGCTTCCACAGTGGTATCCTGTATCAAAACAACAGCCAGAAGGAATGTTCTACTTGCTTGCAGGACCTGAAAATCTGTATGAAAATCTGCTGTGGTAAAGACTACCATACCAAAAGCTCCCTAACAAAAGGAGCCCTTAAGTATGGGAGCGAACAGAGATCCCGCTATACTGTCCTGAAGGAAGGAATTAAGCGTCTAGGCTGGCAAGGTGATGAGAATGGATGGCGGCTGAGCCACTGCCCTCAGGTCAGGGCAGTCAGCTGCTTGCAGCTATTGGCGCTGGTGCTGGACATGAATTGGCCACCTGGAAACATGACTAGGTGTAAGGGTAACACAGCTCAAATTCTCCTGGAACAGGAAGAAAAGCTTAAACCACATGGAAATGGGAAAGGCATGGCAGTCTGGATCCTCTGCAACACTAATTTAGTTCCAGATCCGTCCTGCCTAATTGTAGCTACCCCACCAAGATCTACTTGCTGCTGTGAATGTAATTCCTCAAATTTGTATAAGCTCTGTAAGAAAAATTATTTTTAGGTGATGGTTAATCATTGCTTAGTGGAAACACAGGAATATAGGAGGTCACATACTTCCGCAGACAAATGGTTGCTCTTGTGTTATACCTTGTCTCTGATAAAAGTCAGTTCCACGTGGTCTGAAGTTTAGTATCAAAATCCTGATGCAACGCATTATTGAATGAACTGTCCAAAGGCTCACCTGATTCCTAACACCCTGGAGGCCCTTCTTGCCGTGAGTAAGGAAGCTTTGCTTACATCCTTTTCCAGCATTGGCTTTTCTCCATACAAACTAATTTGAAACAGCAGCTGGAAGACCAGGTAATTAACTATCCAGAGGACACATCCTCTGTTAAACATGGCTGCGACTGAGGCCTTTGTGGTGCAGGAGTACAGAGCAGTTTGTAGGCCTACAGTCTGGGGGTTTGGTGTCTGTTTAGCAGATTATAACTGAGATTCAAGCTAGTGGAGAGCTGACAGCTCCTATAAAATACATTGTGGAAAATACCAGCTTAGCCCTTAAAATCTGCATATAGCATTGCCTTCTCATAAATGGCAAAAGAGGACTAATTAAAATTTACAGAAAACCAAGTCTGGTATCTAGAAAATAGCTGCCTCTGGGAAGAAGAAGGCGAGAGAAGTAAATGCAAGGCAGTTTTGAGGAGGGATTTATACATTTCCTCAAATTGCCTGAAGAACCTGAGACTCCGATTAACACCAACCCACATTTATCACACATGTTTCACCTCAAAATGATGAAACAGTTTTGCTCAATATTTATGTTTATTAGTTGATTCAAATTCTCACACTGCATGAAATGTAAATTACAAAACAAATATTTCTTTCATCTTAGTGCTTAATTGGCAAGTTTCATTCCTGGTAATGTTCCATTAAATACATTAGAATGACAGGAGGAATTATGCTGGCTTCATTTACTTACCTCTTTTATTGGTAGACATAATGACAGTGGCTCAAATGTTAATCATAATTGCCATCTGCTTTAATACGCAGGTTTTTCCCCCTTCTTCCTTACCCAAGCTAGATCAAGTGTATTTGATGCCAAACATGGTGTCTTTCTTGTGAAATCAGAAACTCCTATATGAAGTTGGAATTCAGATTTGGACCGGATCATCCCGCACTTTTCAGAGGAAAAATCAAAAGATACTTTGCAAAGTACTTTTTTAAATCATCCAGATCCATGCCTTGTCTCCCAGACCACTCAGTTGTTTGATTTCTTCAAATTTTAGAGGTAAATTCACTGGTCACAACAAAGGTAAACAGTTTCTTAGCCAGATTACAGGCAATTTGTTAAATATATTTTTTTAGGAAAATGAGCATGTGTTTAAAACACAGAAGAAGGTAGATCACCTGCAGTTAGACTAGGACAGTCCTAGGAAAAGCTTTCAAAACAGGGGAACAGAGGCCAATGTTGCAGATCTTTGTGCTACAAACAGGGAAGGGAATGTGAATTAATACAATATCAGCACTGAAGGAGCTTATACACAAACTGAAAAAAATAAATGAAAACCTAAAATACTAAAAAAAAACCAAAAAAAATCAGCTGAAATCCTAAGGTTAGAAATCGTGAGCTGGTAAAGGGAACAGGAAGAATGTGCTTGACCAGTACAATTTAATAAATATATTTCAAAATGCTGAACTGTTCGAATCCAGCCGCATACTTGTATTACAATAATGATGCACCACTTCATGTGTGGACTGCTAAGGAGGGTTTGGGAAGCGCTTAAAATGACACACAAAAAGTATTTGAACACCCTTTGTGAGTATTATTGCTCTTGTAATCCCCTAGGGCCATCTCAAAGTCTGGAAAAAAGAACCTCATCATTTAAGTTGCAGTGATTATTTAACAAACAACCAATCCATATGCAAACGAGGACACCTGAGGCTGGATCAGGCACTGTTTATTACACAGAATTTCAGGATATGGGAATATGGGTGGTACACATCTCATCAAACCTTCCCTGTTTAAAAGCTGGGTGTTTCAGTTGAGCTTGTTGCATGTCTCCATAGTCAATGAAAACAAAATTGTTATGTTTTGAGGGTGATACCAATTCCGGTAAGGTAAGCACCTGAGAACGGATGAATTGTCTTGCAGAAATTCTTGTCCCTCCCCACTAAGCACTGGGGAAGGCTGAGTAATTTCAAGTGACAAGTCACTTGAAATCTTGGCAGTCAAAATTGCACTCTGCAACAATATGCAGTCTGTGGGTGATGTCCTGCTAGTCAGGAAAGAAAAAAGAGAAAGAAATAAATGCACTGTTGAAATAACTATTCCTTGGGTAATTCCATTGCTTTTCCTGCTACTTATCCAGTAAGTCTGGGAAGGAAGCACTCAAAAATTATTTCTGTGACATCCTCCGATGAAACTTTGGTTCAATTCCTTTGTAAGGTGAAGGAGTAGATCTAAGGGCAAACTATGCTCTGTCATATGAATATAAAGAAAGAGAAGATACAGACTAAATGAAGCCAGTGGCGGACAGAAACATAGAATTTCACAAAGAAACAGAAATTTGCACCTACTTCACCACTGTCTTGTGCTGTGTCCTCCTTCAGAGCTGTGCAACGTCAATACAGGTAGCTAGTAATTATTAATCTGTTTGCATGTGCAGCCATTCTGCATTGCTGAACCTACGAGATAATCTCTGTGTGCCTTTGTAGGTCACAGGTGAAAAATAAGGAAAAAAACCACCGATATCCCTTCAGAGAAAACTTTAGCCTTTGGTTTAAACACTCCTTCAGGTACTAAAATACTATGTTTTCTGCTGATCTTACCGAGCACCAGGGAAAATTCAGAATTTCAAAATCAAAGGCCATTAGACAATGTCCATGATTATCATAGGTATAGGACCTTTCTTGTGTTTTGTGGCTGTGGGTGGGAAAAGGATCAGAAGGTGTCTTCCACCTCACTGAATATTTCATTGCAAAATGTGTGAGTAGATTAGATTACAGCCTAGATCTGAAACACTTAAATACAAACATGTATATGACAGCGGGTTATAGCTCTGATTAAAATCATTACAGGTAGTTAATGAAGGAAGTGCTAAATAAATAGAACCAGTTTAATTCCTCCTGCAATGCCAGTGAGCAGGGTGGAATGATACCAGCAATGAAGCTGGTCAATTAGGCTTCAAGATGAAAGAGAACTGGGAGCTGGAATGTGCATATCATGCTATTCAGAGATTTAGGGTGATTTTGCAAACGGCAAGCGAAAACAGTTTCATCACTTTGGCAAGTTATACGTGCTTCAAATTTGGGCTGGTTGGTGATCATGATTTCATGCGTACAGTGTGCCTCAGACCCCCCAGGCAATCTGAAGCACTGTATAAAAGGAACAGGTACACAGTCCTATTCCATCTCCCTCTCCTGTGTACTCTCCTCTACATCAGGTACGTCTCATGACATTTCATTTCTTTCTAAATGCCAGAATGCCTTTGCACTGGAGCTTAGAATACTGGTCACTACTATTATATTAGAGGTTTCAGGACTATTTTTTAATTCTCTTTCTTTGTCTCTCCTTTTTTTTTTTTTTTTAGTATGTTGGCAAGTTGTTTTACCAGTAGGCTTTAGGAGTTAAGACTGGTGTTTGAGGCATTTGTTTAACTGTAATTAATATTTGGGCATTATTGTAGTGTTAGCAGATGGAAAATGTAGGCTGGCATAAGCTTTAAAATGCAGAATTCTCCTGTATCATTTCAGTTAACAACTGAATCAGAGAGGCATGGCCATATCCTAAGCTGTTTAATGGCCCAGCTGAAGAAAGAGCATTATCTATATGGGAATTTTATTGCAAAATAATCCTAGATTGTATTTAGTCTTTATGGATAGGTAAAATCTAAATCCTGCTTTTTTTAAACCCTAGTTATTTTCACCGGAGACAATAAGGGAAGTAAACCAGTGGTCTGATCCAATGTGTTTGTCATATGTCCGTTTGTAAATCCAGATCCAGATTAGCTGTTCAGATACACTGAGTTCAACAATTTGATTCTCTGCATTGCAGGGCTACTTTATGAATAAAATAATAGTTCCTCTTTTTTACTGGAAAAAAGTGCTACTTTTTTTTAAATCAAAAAAACCCAAACAGTACTTTCAGAAGGCTTGGCAGATGTGATAAGTGCAAGGGATTACTTGATGGGGAAGATCAGAGCAATGCTGATTGACAGGAAATTTTGTGAACAGCATCATCACTTTTGCTTATGCATCTGGTGATCATTTTGCCTGTTCCCCCACAGCCCAGCACCAAACCTTGACCTGTTTTTCCAGTAGATCTCGTGCTTTGTTTTCACACAGCTCTCTGCTCTGTGTTTCAGGATCACCTTCATCCCTGCAAAGAAATGTCTTGCTACGACCTGTGCCCCACCACCAGCAGCATCGCCTGCCCCCAGCCCATCGCCAACAGCTGCAATGAGCCCTGTGTCCGCCAGTGCCCTGACTCAACGGCCCTGATCCAGCCGCCCCCCGTCGTCGTCACCTTCCCCGGACCCATCCTCAGCTCCTTCCCCCAGCAAGCCGTGGTGGGCTCCTCCGGAGCCCCCGCCTTTGGGGGCTCCCTGGGGCTGGGGGGCCTCTATGGCTCTGGGAGCCTCAATGGTTATGGGGGCTCTCTGGGATACGGGTCCCAGTATGGATATGGGAGTTCAGCCCTCTCCACACTCGGCAGCGGGTACTGCAGCCCGTACTCCTCCCGCCGGTACAGCCGGTTCCTCCGCAGCACCTGTGGGCCCTGCTAAAGGCAGCAGAGAGGTCTCAGAAGAGCCACATATGAAGGCCCAGATGCAGAGCAATGAGGATGGGGGTTCAGCGTTCCTACAGCCCTGCAATGGAGCTACTGCCACTTAGCATTTCTGATCTTTCTTCTGCTTTTTGTTTACACTTCGGTTTCTAGTTTGTTGTTTGCTGTTGTTGCCTGTTCCAGCCTTCCCATTTTTTTCACCATCATGGGGCAGTGTATTCCATATGGACATCACTCATAATGACAAGTATCTTCATCAGTAGTTGCACAACAGACAGAAGAAAGCCAGCTGAAGACAGCAATATCTCTGAGCAGAACATTCGTTGAACATTCTTTGAAATTGTCTGGAAAGAGATTTTTCATGTTCTGTGATATCCTGCTTTGCCAACATAGGTATTTCTTGCTCATTAAAATTTTGTTGCATCACACAGCAGCCTTCTGGTTTCCCTTCCTCCCTTCATCCACAGCCTGTCCTGGGTGATATCTTCCCATGGGCAGAACCAAACTGCAAACTGAGCGGCAATACTGCAGAACATTTAAGCACAGACTGAATTTACATGGCGTCACAAATGTTTCTGTAATGAATGTCCTGAGTAGCAGCTTTTCATCCTTTGAAGATATGAAAAGTTTAAAATAACACAGCGTCTTAACTCCTGTTACTTAAACACGATTTCAGTGGGGCCTTTCCATGAGCATCCAAACAGAACTGTGGGTTTCCATGTTGAGCTCAGCATGACCACAAATGCCGCCAAGGTGGTGCCCAGCAGAGTACTTTCCAAATGTATGTTTGCACCTATAAATTCAAAGATACAGTGCTCATTCTACACTATTGACATTGCTCAGTGGTACTTAAATTCCAGACATCCCAAACAGCTAATACTTATTCCTCCCTGCAGTCATCAGCCTTTCCAGCACAGTAAGAAAGGATTAATTCTTGTTCCCTCTAAGAATTAACTGTAGTCCAGTGAGTAGCAGGAGCGGTGGCGACTCCTTGATTCTAAGCTTCTGGTAACACAGCCAATTCAAACTGTAATGAAGCTGCAAATGAGGCAGGTTCAGTACTGTGCAAACAAAGAATAAAGCCAATCCCTGCCCTCAAGTGCTTTCAGAGAAAATAGACAAGACAAGCAAAGCATGAGCACCTTTGCTCTTTTCCCTTTTTTGCAGATAGGCATCTTTTATGCAGGGGTTGAAGGCCATGTTTTCCATACTGATAAAAACATTAGTAAATATTTTCCCTGGATGACAAGGGAAGCACTTGGCAAAGCCCAGAACTGAACTCCTCTCTCCGATATCCCCATCTAACAACTGATATACAGTCTCTGTTTACAGTTTTCTACTCGACTGATTAACTTCAGGTTTTCTTTTTCATTGTACAAAAAGAGGAAAAAACCAGGAGGCAAAGAGCACACCGTGGAATATTCCTGTCTGTCTCTGTGCTCTCGTGTCAGGAACACTGGCATGTATTGGGAGAGGGAGAATGTCAGTAATGCTGATTTCCACAGTGATATTTAAATTTGACTGTAATCTAGGTCAGTACTCTGACTACTATGTGTGAGTCAGTAGTGCTGGTGTTTAGAATTGAAAATATCCTGATTACTTTTGTTTTAAGACAGAACTCTGAAAATGAGATGATCAATCAAAAACTGACATGTTTTCTTAGAGTTCTTCTTCTTTCAGCTGAAAGACAGTATATGGCATGGCCAGTAGGACATAGAAGATTTAACAGATCATAGAATCAGGGAATCCAGGAATGGTTTGGGTTGGAAAGGACCTTTGAAGATGGTATCTAGTCCAATCCCTCTGCCATGGGCAGGGATGTCCTTCACTAGATCAAGTTGTCCAAAGCCCCATACAACCTGACCTAGAACACTTCCAAAAAACAGTGATCTAAGGATCCAAGATGTGGCTTATTTTATAATCTGTTTTCTAAGCAAAAGGGGAGAACGAGCTAAAAAAAAAAAAAATCCTTTCTTCAGGTTTCTCTGAGAAAGCATTTTATTTAAAACATCTGAAACATGTCAAGTTCAGATCCTCCAGTTGCAAAACTGATAAAAGGTAGACTGCAAGCAGCCACTTTGCTAATTCCTCCAGAATCAAACCCTGGAAGGAAGCTGGCATTCAGCAGAGCATACTTCTGGTACTGTTATGTTAAGCCATTGTACCTGCAGGCTATTTACCAGTGGTGTGAGTCTGAACCACATAAAAAACCATTAAGCTCTAGTAGTGACTAAATATTTAGTGAATCCACCTATTTAAATCAAACATGAAAGACTTAACTCCCACAGATATCTGTCTTGAACTGTAATTTAGTGTGTGGGGAGGACATATACTTCAGGCTGTGTTTACAACATCTTTATGAATCGACTTCTGATTGCCAACACTGTTACCTTGTACTAGGGTACAAACACATGCTCAGAGCACGTTGAGACAGAGAGGAGAGTATAGTGACCTCTATAGTTCAAGATGAGACATTGTGATCTCATTTATTGTTGCTTCCTATTCTTGGTAATTACTTGTTTCACTGAGAGGAGGAACAGGACTCTGAGATGCTGGTGTTAACTGTCAACAGCCTGGACTTCCCATGGCTGACCAAGAACTGCAGGAGACCTTGCAGTTAGATGTGGTCCCCAGGTTGCAGTGGCCAGCAAACTGCCCAGATCTCAGCACTGCTTCCTGATTTCCATGATAAACAGCAGCTGGCGTTCCTCCCACCTCCTCCTCGTATCTGCATGTGACGTGACCTGAGATGCGTTGGGTCTGCCAGTGAAATTAGGTCTCTTATCTTCTACTGCGTTCATCTGTGATTACACTTACATGAAACTGTAATCCAAGTTCAGCCTGCTGTGCATTTGGGAAGATTGTTGATGGTTAGGAGCGGTGCAGAACAATGGAAGGCAGTTAAGAACTGTCCTTTGGTGCTTGCTCTGGTCTATGGTCATAACATGCAAATTCAGGCCAGCAGATGAAAATCAACCATGCAATTTTTGCAGTTCCCGCTCTCCAAGGGACAGTGCCTGCAGGTCACTTTACCGAACAATGGTGTTGTGGAGTGCTATGTCTTCAAGAACCATTCAAAGCCAGTAGAGTCCATCAACAAATTGCAGCGATCTATTTATAGTCCAGGCCTTAACTTCTGGCTCCTACGTGTGCCTTTTCTGTAGTATAACAAGCATGTAGGCAGAGAAGCTTCATCCAGCTATGCTGACAACATCCACACTGAAGGATGTCGGACTGCAGCATGAGAAACTGGCTGCTATTGTAAGTCCAGTGCAGAGGTGCAGCAAGATGGGCTGAGAAGAGGATCGATGTAATTCTACTGTCCTCTGTGGCATGAAAACAGTAATCTTGAAAAGAGGACTTCTGTAGTGATCAACACCATAGTGATTTGTCTTGAAAATAACGTGATCTGGTTGGTTTAGTGCTCTGCATATATGCACAAACAAGTATTGGTTTTTTGACAACATCCTAGTGACTCCAAGAATAACCATGCAGTGCAGAGGAAGCACGAAAACAAGACAAAGCCTTCAGACACATCCTAACAAGAAAGAGGTGTTGCCTGGCTACCTCACTGTAGCCTCATCTCATTTCAGCTAGTTTTACAAGTGAAGTCACACCTCCAAACCCTTTGAAGTTATTACCACATACTTGATCTTGTCCAAACAAATTTCTGAGACTGGGGTTTGCCTGGAATGAGCCTGCTGAAGTACTGTGAAGCCTGCCAGCGCGTTGCTGGTATCCCTAGGAACAGCAACTTCACACAGGGAAGAGCAGAAGTGCTGAGCAGTGTCTGGTCCATCAGAGTCCTTGTTGGCATTGCAAGCACAGGACAGGGTGAATGCCTCTTAATAGCTGTACTAGTTGTATGCAGATTTTATCACTAGAAAAACAGCTCTACAGGACATACTGAGCAGCCTGGAACCGTGTTGCTGTTGAACAAAGAGAAGTGCTGAACATGTCCAGTATCCAGAGTCATCTGTGAGTAGCCTGAAATTTAAGTCTGAAGTTCCTGAGAGGGAAAATATTCTTTGGCCTGAATGATAGGTGCTGCTCTGCAGGGAAGATTTAAGAATTATTCTTTTATTTATTTCAACATTCGCCAAGAATTTAGAGGTATTAATGGGGAAACTTCAAAGAACTGAGAATTTCAGCAAGGATTTGCCATTCAGTTAAAAATTCCCGTTGGCTATCCAAAGGAAGGTTCTATCCACAGATCGTTACATGCTGTTTTTAAACAATGAAAAATATCATAAAACCAATGTACGGGGATATAATTAAATTGGAGCCGCAGGCAAATAGCGAGACTCAGGGAAGATCTTCAAAGTTATTTGTGTGTTTAACTTTCTGTGCTAGCATGTAACAAAACATGCTGTAACCACACCTGTCCTGGAGGAAATTTCAAACTTAGTTGTAAGGGTTACAAAACATGTTTATCCAGCATGAAATTACTTTTGTGCAGAAGACAGTCATTACACTCCCTCCTGCTTAAAGGGCCTGGTCACCTTCCAACTTCAGTTGTTGAAAGAACACAAACACCATCATGTTTCACTGGAGATTGACGCTTACCCCAAATGGTATATTAGTAAAAAATGGTGCACAAAAAAAAAAAAAAAGACAGGAAAGCTCAGAATTTTGGTGCACAATAATTTAATGAGAAAGTAAGGAGAGATCTTATTGAATGAAAAATACAATGAAAATATTGTCAGGGTCTCATTAAAGGCTGCAAGCAAAGAATTGCTCCAGGGCTATGCATTCCGCACATGTTACTCTTTCTTTTTCATGGCATGGGAAGACTTACACAATCTCATCCCACTTTCAACCAGCCAGAGATCATTGATAGAATTAATTTAAGGCTGTTATTATCAGGAGCCACTGGAAAGAACAGTCAGAAAACTAATTTAAATCGTTAGCTTAAGAATTACATGTAAGTGTGATTTTCAGAGATGCACAGTTCACACTCCAGGAAAGCAATACCAGTAACAGGGTTTGTGGAGGCACATCTTCCTCCATGTTGGGCGATTGCTCATTGCTTCTTATTCATTGCACATTTAACACGGTCTGCAGCTCCCAAAACCATAACCACTGGATCCATAGGAAGAGTAAGACCTCCCATAATTGTATAAGCTCCTAGAGCCATAGGAGCCACTGGATCCAAACAAGCTCCCAGTGCTGGATGGTGCTGAGCTGCCCACTATGCTCTCCTGAGGGCAGGAGCTGAGAATGGGTCCTGGGAAGGTCATGACCACGGGTGGTGGGTAGATCACAGCTCTTGAATCACCACAGGACGTAACACAGGGCTGGCTCCAGGCATTCGCAATTGGCTGCGGGCAGGTCACTTCGCAGGGTGCAAGGCAGCGGGAGCTGATCATGTGTCTGTAGGAAGACATCTTCTGGGAATGGAGATAAATCTGAAACACACAACACCGAGGCAACACAGCGCTGAGAGCTCAGATACCAATTTAATGGAGATTGTGCTTGGAAGAGAAAGTATAAAAAAATAACAAGACCAGAAGGAGGATGAAGATTTCAGTTTTATCAGCAACCATGTCCCTTTTCTCATCTTCTCGTGTCCTCCTCCTCTCCCTTGGAACAGTCTCCTTTTCTTTTGACTCTTAATTATGGAGCAAATTTGATACACAAAAACATCATTAACAACAAAAGAAACTGTCTGTTTGAACTTGACTTACCCCCACCATCCTTTACCGTTTCTCCTTTCCAGCATTCCCTTTTCAATCTGACTTACTGTGACACCTGACCATTTCTTTTGTAAATAACTGCCGAAAAGAACATAAACACGGGCTAACACTTACATAGTAACATCCTGTGCTGGTCTGCATCACCTGTAATTATTACAACTGTATGAGGCAAGTCATTGTTATTCCAGCTTTAAGGAAGAGGTAACTGAGGCCAAGAAGTGAATGCATTGCCCAGAGCCATTTGGCGAGGTAACAGGAGAGACGAGTCAAAATTCAGGCAAGCCTGGTTGTTAATGCCAATGTTATTCCCCAGTCTTTCAGATGCTACAGCTGGCACCAGGGCCCCCCTGCATGTTCTTTACACAGATGAGATGAGTAGCAGCCACATCCCTGAAGAGCCCATAGAGTTTTCTTGGCAGAATATACCACATTTGGGTGGGAATGCAGTATCAGTGAGGTTCCCAGTATAACTAGGACTCCTGTGAATGTGGTCCCAGCTGTCCTGCTAAAGATGACTGAGGTGAGAAATGACTGCGGCAGAACTAGGAGCTGTGCATAATTTTGTGGAGTCATTTTCTTTAATTATAAGATCCCTTGATCACTCATAAAACTGATTTGCAGCTTGTCTTGATCTCTGTCCTGCCTTTCTAAAACCCATAAAATGAAAGGCTAGGAATAAAGAAAAGCAATAAAGTCTTGTCCATAACAAGTACATAATGTAATGCATGACAGGCTTCAAATTAATTCAGAAATAATTGCAAAGAACAGGACAAGATATTATTGCTAATGGTGGCTTCCTAGTTCATTTTGAGATGCAGAGTTAACTTTTCTTGGTAGTCATCATTACAAGTCAAGGCAAACAAAGGCAAAATCATAGAGGCAGAACAGTCAGGCTGGAGGAAACAGGAATTCACTAAACCTCACTATAAAACCTCACTGTAGAGTTCACATATCCCAAACTTTCAACTGCTCTGAAAACTCCTGCCCTTTTATAGCCTGCCACTGAATAAGTAGGAAGCAGCTCTTTCTGAAAGAAAACTTCAACCTTTCACACATTTCTAAGAATCAGTCTTGCTTCAGTTCAAATCCTGCGTTGTTACCACCACATTGTAATAGCAATAGTGTCAGGCTCAGACTTACCCCTTCACAGCTAAGAGCAAGTCAGGAGAAATGGTTAGAGCAGCCGGGAACTGTGAGCGCTTTTATACCTTTTCTTAGGCAATCAGGAGGATATGAAACATTCTTTGTGTATGATGTCCTAATGCATTATCAAACAAAAATTCACTCCACCTGTAACAGCCCCAGATAATGCAATTATTTTGCTCAGCAATGGCGATTACTGTTGCGTTCTTGTCATTAGTCCGGCAGAGTAATTTTTTTTTTTTATTACTGCTTTTTCCTATTTCTCTGATTGCCTCATGGAGCAAAGATTGCTCAGAAGTTTATCAATAAACACAATATGCTGACATGCCTGAGATACTACCCCACTTTTCCAAGTCATGCTCCAGTAAGGGGGCATTGTGCAATTTATCCCATCATACCCACACACATTAATTCCTGTGACTCTGGTATGAGGCATATTAGACTCCACAGACACCTTCCTACTGAGTTATAGGTTTGGAAATGGGAAGCGTTCATTAGTTCCTATCCTCCTGGCTAAGAAACAAATGCAAAGCACGTGTCCCACTTCAAGCTTTAGAAGTACAGGTGGAGTAACCTATAAGCAGGGAGCTGCTGTTATCCAGCCCTGGCATGGGGGACAGGAGCTTCAGACAATGAGAAATTCATGTGCAGCTTTAATTGTCAGGGACTCCGTGGGTTCACTGCTGAAGACCTCGGGGCTCCTGAGTGATGAACGATTCATGGTTTGGGAAGAAACAGGTCAGGGAATGAAGCCATGCATCACCCTAGGAAAACTTTGGGCTGGAATCTTAAAGTGCAGTTTCAGCTGATGCGGAAGATTGGCTGCTTACTTCAACAGATTTCTTCCTCAGATTCAATACCCTTTCTTCAGTTCTTCAGTTATTTACTGACAAAATTATTTTCAATAGTTTATCCATTTTGTGCATCCAAGTTGATATAATTTATGAATGCTTTTTCAGTCTCAAGATGATGAATTCTTCCCCTCTAAAATCCATCCCCTTCAAGGGAATTTAAGGTTGAATGCCAGGTTTTGAGTAACCTTGGGAATTCTGTTCTAAAATGTTCATTTTGTTCCAGTTTGTCCATCAGAATTTGGTAACTGTCACCAATACTGCAGTGGAATGCTGTGTAGGTGACGCATGCAAGAACGCTGAGGAAGCTGCTTTTCCAGGGCTGCCTTGGGATTTCCCTCAGTGTTTCCTAGCAATGCCTGCAGAGACACCCTTTAAAGCTACTGATAATTTATGGTAGAGGATTCATATAAAAAAGAAACAGGAATAGAAGCAAAGGGAAGGAGATGTTGCAGGGAAACAACCCACATATAGTCTGCTCCTCCTGCCCGAACCACACCTGGTTTCACTTTGTCTGGAAGCAGGCGATGACGTATACCTACAGATACCTACAGATGAATCACATAATTCTTGGAGATGCATCCCTCTTCTAACCATCCTGCCCTTCTGAAAGGGCAAAGAGAGCTACATACTGGTGTCAATACTGCTGACACTCCAAACTGCTGCTTCTGTCTCACGATGTTCAGGGTTACAGCCACGTGCTTTGCTTTTGCAGTTTTACAGACCCACAAAGTGGCATCCAGCTGCCATATTAATGTCTTTTCCGACTTAAACCATTCACAGTCATTTTTGCCAGCAAAATCGTGGTATAGTAAAATACTCGGGGACAAATGGCTCTATGAAAAGCAAAGTTAGCATGACATATGGACTACCATTGCACAGATTCCTTATATGACAAATCACAATACTGCTGCCACATACATTGATCCACTGCATGCGAACAATCATCAAACCCATTTACTAAAATAGCATAAAACATTTTTATTTATCAAGCACATCATTTTATTGTAACACCATAAAAAAAGACATTCAAATGTATCTGCAGAAACTTCCATGAATTGATTTTGGATCATTTCTTTACAAACATGACTAGAAACTCTTCCTGGCTAGCTTGGATGAACACCACAATCAAGAGTACCAAAGGGACACCCTTTGTTTCAGTTTGTAATCGAAACACAGACTCTGCTCAGGATATCCAGGTCTTTCTGTGTAATTCTTCCAAGCCCATGGCAGACAGCTTTGGAGTCATCCATCCAAGAGTCCATCTCATAGTGTGGGTGGAATTTGTCTCGTCTGGTAACACAGCACACCCAGGTTGTACTGGCATGTCTACTACACCCTAGGAGGAGACAAATAACAGCACAGGAGAGGATGAGCCATCTGAGAGAAGGAGAATGCAATGAAAAAGGAGTAACTCAACAAGGGGGAGTTGAGTAACACTATCTGTTTGAGGAACAGTATTTCTAGGTTCTTAGAAAATAATATTTATGCCTTTCTGTGACTATACTTCAAGCCAGAAAGAATGACTGCTGTTGATGTGGACCCACTAAAACCTCTTGCTGGAACAGCCACAAAACCTAGCTGAGACCATAAAATACATATTCACAGGGATCACGCAAGACTCAGCACTGCGCTCTTGTGGCTTAGCTGAGAGCGTGACTTAAGCTGAGTAAATCAGAGTTATCTCAGACACCTCTAGACAAGGTGAATTCCTACCTCTGAGCTGAAGTTTTGGCATACCGTCAACTTGTCTTGAAAACTGTGGTGCCATTTCCAGATCAGAATTACTGATGCGTATCTGGCACCTCCTGAGATAGCATTGCTGTCAAGGCAAAAGTGTCTTTTTTTGGGAGGGTGGTTGGTGTTTTCTCACACCAAACTGTCCCCAGCTTCCTTGGGAGCAAAATGGTTCTCCAGTTTCCAGCAGTTCCTTTCTTGGAGGCTTTGATCTTTTAAAAATCTTCTTTAAATACCAGAGCTGCTTCTATAATTTTGATGATATAACTGCTCTTTTGTCTGATATGAGTAGAATACAATCCTATCAGCCTAATGAGGCACAGGATGCCATCTTAATGCAGTCCGCTATTAAAGTACTTCTAGGCTGCATTCCCATGTGTCCCAAAGGCAAGATTTTGGCATTTTCCTCAAAACACATTGTGCAAAGTTCAGCCAGCTCCTTGTGTACAGTGTGGATATAAAGTAAGGAAAAAAATAAAGTGGATATATTTATTTGAATACAAAAATATGCTAACTAGTGGTATATTCTAACCCTAGTAACAACACTCTGCATATGTATTCTTTGACTGAGTCCTGAAGCACACACACTTCCCAGTGCAAAGGCATTTTTATGCTGACATTAACCATGTAAGATGCTAATTCTGGTTCCAGCAGCTAGGAAGGAGGAATTGTGCATTGCCAGGACCTATCCCGGCCACATGTATGTAGGTGCATTTATAATCATCAGCTAATAAGGGGATGTAAGGGAGACAAGTGTGGAGAAATAAAACAAAAAGAGAATGCTAGTATTAGGATGCAGTGTGATTTTTATTAGGAACAAGAAACGGCATTTAATCTAATAACAAACCAAAACAAATTGAAGGAATATTTCCAGTTTCTCAGACCTGATTACAAGCAATTAGTCAACAAGGAATGAATGTTTCACAAGAAGTGCTCTTTCTTCCCTACAGCAAATGTAAC